AAAAATTTGACCCCAAAACCCCAAAACCCCGACTGCAGCAAATTTGAATATTTGGGAGAATTATATTACGAGTGAATTTGAAAATAAAATCAATATTTGTGATAAAGAGCTAACTACTAAACAAGAGATTAGAGAAATGGAACAAGAACTTGAACTTTCAGCTGTCATTGGATTTTAAGGTATCAATTTCACTCGCAAATGTATTAATTCTCCTGTAGGCAAGGTCATTAGCGGACTTCTTCTACATCCTGATAACGAGCATATAATTTATCCTTTGGGAACAACGATCGTGGTGAGGCACATCATCTCGAGGTCTCAACAATTTCTCAGGGTAACTTCCATCTGAAAATCTCATCACCTTTGCTGTAGGGCCACGATAATGATATATCTGTAATTTCTGTTTCAAATACTGGCAAGTACTTGGCTAGTGGACAAAAAACACACATGGGATTCTAGGTAAGTTTCCAAGATTCTTCTTTTATTTAAGAAGCCATTTTCATCATCAAGAATAATTCAAATGAAAACTTATATTTTAGGCTGACATCATAATTTGGGACTTCGACTCACTTCAAATGATTCAAAGACTCAAGCTCCACAAAGTTCTCATCCAGAGTCTAGCCTTTTCGCACAACGAGAAATACTTAGCTTCACTTGGTGGTCAGGACGATAACACACTCGTCATTTGGGATGTAAGAAGAAGAAAATATTAATTATTTAAATTAGATTGCGACAGGTAAAGCTCTATGTGGTAACCCCGTTGGAACCAACACTGCTAACTAAATTACTTTCTTCAATAATTCTGACTCTAGACTCTTGACTATCCATAACTATGGCCTCAGATTGTGGAATGCTGATCTAGTCAACAAAAAGATCTAGTATTAAGATGTCAACATGGGATCTATCAAGAGAATTTTCACTTGCTGCACCATTGATCCCTCAGATCAACTAGCTTTCCTTGGAACAAGGACTGGAGATATTGTTGAAATTTCTCTAGACAGAGCACTATTCAAGAGAATCGGACCAGTCAAGAGATTATTCTCACAGGGAATCAACTGCGTTAATCTTTTATCAAACGGGGACTTATTGGTTGGAGCAGGAGATGGATCTATTGCTAAAATCGGTTTCAAGGACATGCTTGTTAAGTCAGAGGCAAAAGTTATGGGATCAGTTACATCAGTCTCATTGACTGCTGACTCAACTCACTTCTTCGCAGGTACCTCAAAGGCAACAATCTATTGGTGCGATACTGATAAAATTAATCCAGAGCTAAGAAACACCTGCCACTATGAAAGAATTAATTCAATTGCTTTCCCATATGAATATTCTGAACTCTTCGCAACTTGCTCGTTAAATGATATCAGAGTATGGAACATGAAGACAAGGCAAGAATTGCTAAGAATTGAGGTACCAGGCCTAGAGTGCTTCTGTGTACACTTCATGAATGATGGAAAGAGCATTTTGAGTGGTTGGAACGATGGTAAAGTCAGAGCCTTCCTTCCATAATCAGGTAAACTTTTCTACGCCATCAACGATGCTCATAACCACGGAGTAACTGCTCTTGCACCAACCAACAACTGTCAAAGAGTAGTCTCTGGAGGTATGGAAGGTGAGGTCAGAATCTGGAGAATCGGAAAATAAACTCAAGTTATGGAGGCTTCCTTAAAGGAACATAGAGGCAGAGTAGCTGATATTAAGATTAATAGAGCTGACACTCAAGCAGTTAGTGCTAGTTATGATGGATCATGCATTATTTGGGACTTGAAGACTCACACTAGAATTATGTGTCTTTTCGAATCAACTATGTTCAAGCAAGTAGTTTATCATCCCGATGAATCGCAACTTCTTACCACTGGTTCAGACAGAAAGATCACTTATTGGGATTGTTTTGATGGACAAGCAATTCGTATGTTGGACGGATCTGACACTGGAGAAGTAAACGCTCTTGCCATCACTAAATAGGGTGAGCATTTCGTTTCAGGAGGAGAGGACAAGAAAATCAAGCTATGGGACTACGATGAAGGCATCAGTTACTATCAAGGTCTTGGTCACTCTGGAAATATTACAAGAGTAAGTTATAATGATAAGCATATATTCTTCTAATTTATAACGAAAGCAGACATTAATACATTTTATAGATCGCAATTTCCCCAGATCAAAGATTCATCGTCAGTGTGGGTGCTGAGGGAGCTATTTTCATCTGGCACACTCCAGATAGAATATAAAATTCAATGGCTGATAGAGATATGCCTCAACGTAACTGATGAAATTTAACACGCCTATCTACACTCATTCCCTAACTTGATAATTCTAAATCTTTTTCATTTAAGATATTCATCATACAAATTCACAATCAATCATCATCTTGGGGTTTTGGGGTTTTGGGGTTTTGGGGAGATCGGAAGAGCGTCGTGTAGGG